GGAAAGCTAATGACAAGGCAGAGCTGTGACTCAGCCAACCTCAGCCTTTGCAGGCTTGTGAACTATGCTGAGCGGTGTCCAAACACAGAGACAGTGGAAGAATGTCACTGCCCATATTCACAGGGGAAACCACCGGGGTATTTCTCCGTCACCTTAGTCTGCTTTCCTAGTACTTAGAGCAGCTTCCAAGTTTCAGAGCGCTGAGAACGTGACAGAAGTTTCTCTCTCTGCAGAGTGCTTGATGGCTCGTGTAGTCTCTGGTGTGTTGGTGGGCTGTTGACCATGAGGGGACAATAACTTGTGTAAAAATTTAGCTGGATCTGATTTATCTTACTATATTGCTAAAATAATCTGTGTAAGCAGAGTTTAAAACAAAACAAGTTGTAAACTAGTCTGCAGATGTGACAGGCTCTTAAGTTAGAAACTTGGGTCAGAACTACGTGGTAATATCTACAGATTTCCAAGAATATGACTCCTGGGGCCTTGGGCCTCAAGTCTCTGTGTCTGGAGTGGTCTTTAGATAACAGGATTTGTAAGTCCTGACTGTTCCCTGACAGATACGAATGTGATACAGAGGAAGGGGAAGGTTAATTCAGGGTATAGCTTGTGCTGTCCAGGACAGAGAAGTGGTGCTGGTTCTCCACCCCTTGCTCCGCCTGGCAGTCATGGGTGCATCAGGGCCCTCTCATTACTGTTGTTAATTGACTGCACATTGAGAGGCCCATGTTTCGCATTCCCCGGGCAGTAGATCCAAAACACAAAACAATTTTCACATTTTGATCTAAATCAGAAGTGTCTGGAAGGTGCAGGATCCCTGTCAACCTTAAAGGGGTCTCTTCCCTCTCCAAGACTTGCAGTCCTCCGCAGGTCACTGTGGGGCAGGGGATGTCTCCTGGCCCTTGCTTTGGGGGTTGGAGGTTAACCTCTTACACTGCCGGTGGCCCTGGCACGCAGAGGCAGGCTGCTCCTACGCGGAGTGGGAGGACACGGGGATGGTTTGCTGCTGCTGGAGGTTCCCCCCTTTCTAACACAAGCAGCTGCTGCTCCTCCTTCCTTCCCTGATCCCTTGGTAGCAGTGTGGATGCTTGCTGTAAGTAGGAAGAAGACTGTGACTGTTGGGTTACATTTTCTGCTCAAGCAGCTGGGAAACACCCCTGGGAAAATGTCAGCAGGGAGACCTGGCCATTGCGCCTCGCTGCTGTGTTGTCCTCTGCGGTCACCCTCTCTTTCTTCCCTTCTCCTCGAAGCGGGGGCAGGATCATCACCCTGGAAGGAAGAGGCTTTGAGCTGGTCCAGAACGTGTCCATGGTTGTCCGTGGCATTGGCAGAGAGCAAACGGTGAGTGTCCCCGCTGGCTGTCTCCCAGGATCTGGGAGCAGGGCTGCGCACCCGGTGCCTTGAGATGCTGGGAGTGTGAAGCTGAGGCCTCAGCCCGTGCTACGGATGGGGCTGGGAGCCAAGCTGGGTGGGACCACTCAGGATGTTGGTTTTTTGATGTGCATGCTCTCTTCTGCTTTCAGAGCTGTAAGGTTCACACTGACACCATGATCACCTGCCCCTCTCCAGCTGCCTCCAACATCACTGCAGGGAGCAAGCCTGCGCCCATTGATTTCTATCTCAACGGTCGCCTCTATGCAGACGACCGTCCGGCTCTGGATGAGGAGCTGTACCCCGAGGAGGCCTTGCACATCAGCAAGTTCAGCCTAGAGTACTACGCTGACCCCCAGTTCTTCACAGCCAAGAAGGAAAAGTGGATCAAGCACCATCCTGGCGAGCCCTTGACTCTGGTTATACACGTAAGAGCGTGGCATTTACAGCCCTGCTTCTTCTGGGGTGTTCCCTGCTCCCCACTGGGAAGCTCTTCATTCCTAAGTGTGAGCACAGTGACTGTCCACAAACGCAGAGAGAGAAAGGGTGGATGAGGCCGGGAGAGGCAGGAGCCCAGGAGCCGCGCAGGAGCGGGCAGTTCTTGCTCAGCCTGCTGCACCTGCATCGCCCATCCCCAGAATTCACAGCCTGACCTGAGGATGCCCTGCGAGGCGTGACGACAGAGAGCTGCGTTTAAAGGATGTAGCAACAAGAAGCTAAATAAAATACTGGATGTATGAAAAAGAATGATAATGCACTGGCCTGAAATCAGGCAGGTACTGCAGAAGGTCCTGACAATAGGTATTTATTCCTGCAGAAACAGGTCATGCATTCTTCTCTTTTGGCTACTGAATTCAGCTCAGTTAACAAGGAAGTCGGGGTATGGCAATTGAATGGCTTGGACAATGCGCAATAGTAATTCAAAGGCCATTGTTCGCTGCAGGATATCCTCACTGGTCGCTCCGTGCTTCAGAAACGCAGCCCCCTTCCTCAGTCTCTGCAGACGCATCCCCTGCCTATCTCCTCTCCTGTACATCCTTCCCCCCTCCCAGGTGGGCGCTTAGATCCTTATCTGCGGTGCACAGCTGGGGCAGATCAAAAGCAGATTTTTCCAGGTTCCAGGAGAGGCTTGCTCGGTCCATGCCTCACGCTGAGTGAGGAATGGGAAACAGGAAAATGGGGAATGGCCTGGTTCTGGGTTTCCTGTGGAGTGCTGGAAAAATGTCCTTGGTGAGGGAAAGTCCTCCCAGGTCTGAAAAGCAACAGGGAATACAGAAAGTAAAGCAGGAAAATCCGTTGCAATTCCAACTGTACTCTAATGACTGACATCCTGATTCTGTTTTTGTCGTTAGAAAGACCCTGACAGCCTGGGCCTGGAAAGCAACGAGTACCAAGTGAAAATTGGCCTTATCTCCTGCGAGATCCAGATTGTTTCCGACAAAGTCATCCACTGCTCTGTCAATGAGTCGCTGAGCACCTCGGAAAGACAGTTACCGGTGACGGTGAGTTCCCGGAGCCTCTGCGCTCAGAACGTGGGGGGCAGGAGGGGTCCCTGTGCCAAACCTGCGTGCGAAGGGGCTGGCTGTGTGCACAGCGGGACCCGTGGCCATGCTCGCCAGCAGCCTCGCAGAAGCCTTGTGAGCTGGGGGAAAGATTTTGTCAGTTCTTGTCAGGCACTGTGAAATCCCAGGCATGTGAGCTTTTGTCACTTGCAGTAATTTTCTTTCCACCCCTCATGAGGGATGTTTGGGGATTTCCAGCAGATGCTGGTCAGTTGGCCTCCTGCTGCCAGCAGAGGAGCTGTGAGGGGAGGTGGGAACCCAACCCTGACCAAGCTGCAATAAGCCACTGGAGAGGGGTCCTTGTGTGTGACCAGGGAGGGCAAGAGGAGTAGGCAGGGCTGGAAAGTTTTGTGGTGCTTCCCAGGGTGCCGTCACTGTGAAGAGTTCAGTGTTCAGGGCTGTTGTTCATCTTTGTGTCTGCAAAATTCACAGTACTGTGTTACTGTCCTTTTTTCCACAGAGGGCTTGAATTAAC